CACCACCCTGCGCCACCCTGGGGAGGATGAGGCCCGGCTCAGGCCTCCACAGCTCCCCGAGGGGCTCCCTGTTCAGCTCTCTCCACAGAAAGGCCTTTGTTCCCTTATCAAAGGCGACGTCTGGGGCAGGGTTGACTCTGGCCCTCCCCACACACACCCCTGGGGGCAGCAGAGACGCAGGCCCCTCCCCCGGCATCCAGCCGAGGCCCTCAGGAGGCCTCCTGGCCTGAGGCCAGGGGGGCTCTGAGGACAGGCGCCCAGCCCAGCGCCCCAGGAGCAACAGCGGAGCTTGACCTCCCTGCAGGCAGTGTGGGCACCCGCAGCCCTGGGCCTGGCACAGCGTCCCAGGCAGTGGCAGGGCCGGTGGTGACGCTGGGCCTGCTGGGCCTCCGCCCGTCTGGCAGCAGAGGGGGCCGCTGGGCGGTGCTCCCTGCCCCCGGGGCGTCTGCATGGAGTCGGGGCTGCCTCTTCAGACGCATCTCCCTCCTCCAGCCCCAGACTGGAGTCTCCTCCAGAGCTATTTTTAGACACTGGAACCTGCCAACAGCAGGGCAGGCGGGGGCTGGCGGGACGTGGCAGGTTGGCCAGGCCTCGAGGCAAGGCCCAAAATTTCTCCAGGCCCCTCAGCCTCCCAGAGGCAGGTGGGGCGAGCCGGGTAAGCCCCTGAAGCCAGGAGGCGGCGTGACACCCTCCAACTTGTGCCTTGCCGCAGACAGGGCCCAGGGGCGCAGGACAGAAGGGCTTTGGTGGCCAGACCCCAGACCCAGGGCTGACGGCAGCTTGCCAGTCCTGTGGCCGAGGCGGGTGGCAGCAGGCAGCCACACCACTGAACAGCAAATGCTTTCTTGTCAGAAAACTGCAGGCCAGATGCCAGCGGGGAAATGCCTGTTAGGGGAACGGATTCTCCGGGGAGCTGCTGAGCCCCACAAATGATGGGCCACCCTGCTCTGCACCTGCGGCCCCATTAGCAGGACCTGGAGGCCCCTGGGGACCAGAGACACAGCCAGTGTCTATGAGGAGGAGCCAGAGACACAGCCACCGACACAAGACCCACAGGCTGACACACACAACCCTCACACAGTGCAGGGGAAACACACGCAGCATGGCACGCTGCCAGGAGCACTCAGCCCAGGCGGCGCAAGGCCCCAGAGGCCAGGGCTTCGTGTCCTCCTGTCCCCTCCTCCCTAACAACTGGGCCTCAAGGGAAGGGACGAATGACTCAGAAATACGCCCTAGCCTTCAGGTCAGTCCCAGGAGGTGATTAAGTCTCAGAGCAGCCCTGGCCCTGTAGGGAGAGGTGGCCCCTGCTGGCCTCCCAGCTCCGCACTCTGCCCGGGGGGCCCTGATCGCTTCCAGGCAGCTCGGTTGCTGGTCTCGCCCTTCTGAAAAGTGCATGTCACCCCCCTGACCTGGGCTATCTCCCTGCTCTGTGTAGCCCGCCCCCTCACCCAAGAGTCTCACTTTCCTCCTCTGGAAAAGGGAGCTCCGCAGGAGCACCATGGGGTCGGGCAGGTGACCGGGAAAAACTCGCCTGAGCAGGGTCCAGCGCTGCCTGAGCGTGGGGATGAAGCCTCCAGGGGCGAAAGAGGACCGGGCTCACGCCACGTCCCTCAGGCCTGACTCAACACCACAGCTGTCCCCTTGAGCACAGCTGCAGCCCCTGACCCAGGAACACTCCCCCAAGAGTGATCTCACACAGATGCCTTCCCCGCTGGGGGGTCCTACAGGCACACAAAGGAGCCTCTGCCCTCTGCCCCCAAAAGCCCACGCCCAGGGTGGCCTCAACCTCTCCCCCAGCCCTGCAGGTCACTCGGCTTCCCTTCAGCACCAGAGGGAACCTGCTCCAGGCCCAGGGGTCTGACCTCTCCCGGCCACCGGCCTTGTCACTTGCCCTCTTGGCTTCCTGGGTGCCAGTGGCCTCCTGCCCACATGCAGCTCTGGCAAGTCAGCCCCGCCGACCTCTGCCGGAGCCAGGAGATGGGTTTCCAGGCATCCGAGGGCAGGACCTTGAACGTGGCACGGAGGCACACATCCAGACGCTGTTTGTGACGAAGACACGAGCAATCCAGAGCCACCCAGTGCCAACCCCAGCAGGGGGGTGGCCCGGCACACTCTAGAGAGGAGTTTAATAACCCAAGAAAATGCTTTCGAGATCTAATGTTGGATTTACAACTTCAAAATGCAAAACTATGTGAACGATTCTGTGAAACACAAATAGAGAATATGCTAGACAAAATATGCCAAAATTTCCCAGTGATTACCTCTTGATTGCAGAATTTCATCTCTAGACTTTTTCATACATTATGCATTTTCTATGGCAAACTAGCATCGCTTTCATGATCACAAAACACAAGCAGACACAATCAAGGCTGCCCAGGCCAGGAGCAATGAGGCTTCCTGGGGGAGGGCAACTGGGCCTAGGACACAGGGCAATCCTTCCTGGGCCACCAGCCAGGTCAGGGCTTGTGTCACACAGGGCCAGGCATAGAAGGGCCCAGCCGGGTAAGCCTCTGAAGCAGTCTGTGAGCAGGCCCCTTGCCTGGGAGGAAAACAGAACAGCCGCCAAAATACAGGCTCAAGGCCAAGGCTGGGCCCCGGGGTCTTGCTGCTGCTCCCTGGCCACAGGGATCCTGCGGCCTTCCCAGCCTCCCATTTGCAGCAGGACAAGACTGGGGAGGAAAGTGCAGGGGAAAGGGTGTGCCTGAGTAGGGCATGTGCAGAGTGTGGACTATGTGTGGGTGTGCGTGAGCACATGCATTCTTATGTGTGAGATGTGGGCGTGCACATGCATTCATACGTGTGGGGTGTGGGCGTGAGCGTGCACCTGTGTTCAGATGTGTGCGTGTGGAGGCCCCCTGGCCGGGCACTGCTCCCCTTGGCAGGACCCTGCCCTTCCCCTCAGAGCCCGCGTGGGAGCAGCCCCACCCTGGGCTGTCCCAGACCAGCATGGCACACTTCTGCTCCTGGCCTACCTCGGGCCATATGGCTGAAGAAGCAGGTAGCTGGTGACCCAGGCTCCCCTTGTGACCAGGGGTGTGACCCATCTGCCTACTGACTTGCTGCCCAGCTGGTACCAGCAAGGTCCCCACCTCAGCCCTCAGCTGGCTCAGAGGACAGAGGCTCAGTGCCATGGGCTGAGTGTCCACTTCACTTGGCCACTGCCTGATCAGACATAGGTGGCTCTGGACGCGGTGAAAACACGAAGCTGGGCCCGGGCCCCGGGAAGCTGATCCAGCAGAGCCTGGGCTGCTTCTCCTAAGGGCCAGCTGCTGTGCCCACCACCAGGTGGCCTCGCCCACCTGCCCTTGGTCTCCCCGGGACCTGACTGACTGCCAGGGCTCTCCCTGTCGGTGTGGGACAGGTTTCTCGGGTCCTCTTGGTGAGCTGCAGGGGACAAGCAGCCATGGAGGAGGTGGGGAGCTGGGCATGGTGGCTCAGCCTCCATGTCTTCCGGGCCTAGGAAACTCCATTCCCCAACTCCTGGGGGTGCATCAGACTGGGGAGAATAGGCCAACCAAAGGTGAGCTGAGGTTGCTCCTGACTCAGCCCAAAGCCGCCGGCAGGCCCTGCCTCCCTCCTCAGTCCTGCCTCCTTCCTACGGGTGGGCATGGGGGTGCGGGGCAGGCAGGCCTCTATGTGGCTCAGGCTGCTGGGCTCAGAGCCTGAGGCCAGAGGTCTTGTCCCTGGGCCCAGAGTCTAGTCGGCAACAGCCCATGTGGGCCTTGAGCCCGAGTCTCTCCAGAGCAACCCTGCTCTAGCAATCCCATAGGCAGCGTCCGTCCCCTGTGGTCCAGGAGTCATAAACAGGTCACTCTGCAGACACCTGCTGGTCCACTCACAGGCCCCAGAAGTGGAGAAGGGCTGGCCTGTGGAGCCAGGCATGGCTGGAAGTGTGTCCAACCCCATCCAGGGGCTGGCCAGCAGCTGCTGAGGGTCCTCCAGAAGCCCTCTATCCCTTCGTCCTTGGGACAGAGTCCTGGTTAGTGAGACATGAGACAGGTGGCCATGGGGAAAAAAGGCTCCTGTTCCCAGCATCCCTTGCAGCTAGGTGGACCACAGACTCAAGTTCTGGCCGAAAGAGGTAAGTGGAAGGACCATCAGAGAGGACATATCCTCCTTTGTCCCTCCCTTCCCTACTGGCCAGAGACATGACACCAGAGCTCTGGCAGCAACCACCCCACCCTGGGAGATGCAGGACCACGCTGAGGACGGCAGGGCACCTGACAGTTGTGCAGGTGCCTGTCTGCCCTGGCCTCTCCCCTCCAGACTTGCCTTCTGTGGGAAAGAAATAAATGCCTGCTGTTCAACCCACTCTTACCTAACCAACACGCTGCCCTCCACACTTGATTTCTCTCTTTCCAGTGCTGCCCCAGACCTCACGCCCTCCTCTTCCTGGGCTCCCTGTCTCAGTCTTGACCTCTCCACGCCCTGCCACGTCCTCCCCTTGTGGTCAGAACGAGTTCCCTAAGACGTGGCTCTGGGCAGGTCGCTCCTACTCAAAACCCTCCACCATCGGGCAGCATCCAGCCCTTCAGTGGGCACTGGGCTCTGAGATCTGCCCCAGCCTGCTGCTCCGGCCTCGCGTGGCAAGCCCTGCCTGCCCACCTGGAATGCAGGACACTTGTCCACACCTCCAGGCCTTTACAGGCTGCTTCCTCTGCGGTACCACCTGCCCACACAGGTCAGCTTGCCCAAGGCCAGCTCAACGTCTCTACTGTGGGCTGCCACAGCCTGGTCACACCCAGCTTCACAAGACCAATGAAAGCTTTCCCCAAACAATCTCACCTTGATCCCAGACCAAATGCATATCCGCTGCTGGGATGCCAGCAACCCTGAGGGTGGTTGGGCCCTGCTGCGCCCAGAAACTGGGGCCTGGACTAAACCCATGGCGTGGCTGCGTGGCAGTGCCAGGCTGGCCTTACCTTTGCCGGGGTCTTTGTCCCCTCCCAGCTGCGTGTGTCCATGGACAGGGGGACCTGGTAGATGTCATGCCCTATCCCAGCAGAAGGTGGCACCTGGTAAATGTCCTGGGCAGGACTTCCGGGTCCTGGTGGCACCTGGTAAAGGTCAGTGGCGGGGCTGGGAAACGGGTGATGGGGCGTCTGCTTTGGAAACGTGGACGTCTGCTTGGCCGGGGGCGACTGGAACTGAGGGCTGGGTCCGGGGGCTTGGTAGAGGCCTTGCTGAGCCTTGCTGGGGGTGGGCACCAGGTAGACGCTGTCAGGTTGGGGCTGGTAGGCGGCAGGGAGCATGGGCGTGTACTGGGAGGCTGGGGGCACCGCGACGTGGAGGCCCTGAGGGTGGCCGGGCTGGGGTTGGGCCGGAGTGGTGGGCGGGCCGGGGCCAGGCCCTGCTGGCTTCTTGTCATACATGCCCACCAGGATCTTGAGGCGGTTCCCCGGCACGATGCCTTGGCGCCCATGCAGTGAGCAAAGCCACCAGCCGTCCAGGCCCTGCGTGTCCCGCTCCAGCACCGTCATGATGTCGCCCTTGCGGAAGGAAAGCTCATCCGGGGACTCGGCCACGTTGTCATAGAGGGCTTTGGCCAGCACGTTCTGGGGAGAGAGACACAGGCGGGCGTGAGGGCAGGAGGACGTGCGTGGGGCTCCTGGGGGCTCACCTGGCTCCCACACCCTCCAGGACCTGGCGGTGTCTGGCTCTGGCACTGGGAAAGGGGTTCAGTCAGGTTTGGTGAGATCACGGTGCCTCTGTCCCCACTGTCCCCCACCCCCACCCCCAGCAGAAAGGCCCACCTGATCCCTTCGACTGCAGCCACCAGCAACACTCTAGCGATGATACTCAAGACACTCCTAAACCCCTCCTGAGGCCACACCACCTCTAAGACCAACGGCAGGGAGAGCAGCAGAGTGGCAAAAAGGTTAAAAGAAATAGCAAATGATTATCTCATGAGATGCAAGAAAATAATTTGACAAAAATGACAGCTTCTTAGGATAAAAATACTGGGAAAAAGAAAAGAGAAAGAACTTCCTTAATAAAGTCCGTCTACCAAAAATCTATTGAAATCTGTAATTAATGAAGAAACTTCAAACACCTCCTGAGGCTGGGGAGAAAACAGGAGGCACGCTCCCTGCTCCCAGTCCTGCTGCCGTCAGCAAATCCCCCCAGAGCAGGGCTGCTGCTCCACGGGGCTCAGGACCTACGCAGCCCCAGCGGAGCCTGGAGGAGGCCGTGGGATTAGAGGAAGGAGAACCACAGGATTAGAGGCAGGCCCAGAGCCTCACTGGGGACACAGCCTGGGCAGGGAGGCCCTGCAGTCCTCACCCCTGCTGCTGCTCCCTCTGCCCAGGTGCCAGGCTCAGCCTGAGCCCAGAGATACCACAGAGGGCAGCTACAGGGCGATGGTCAGTTCCAGCAGAGCAGGCACGAAGGAGGCGCCGAGGAGAGACAAGGCCAGGGCTTCCGCAGCCCCTCCTAGGGCAGCAGAGGTGTGTCTGGGTTCAGCAGGGGCCCCAGGCCTCACACACAGGGAAGCCAGGTCTGCCGGGCTGGTGACCCCTCTGGGTTCCAGCCGCCCCACCAGCCTGGCCTCAGCTCTGCGCTGCCCTGCAAGGTCCCTCCTCGGAGTCTCCTGGGGTCTGAAGACACACAGCCGGGTCTAGACTGACTCAAAAATGGGACCTGGCTTCTGGCCTGAGTCCTGTCTCTGGACTCCATCTCCAAGGAGTCAAATGAGATTCCAGGCGGAAGGAAGGGCCACGCCCCCTTGGGCAGAAACAGGAAGTGGGAGCCTGGGCCCCGGGGCAGAGAGGAGTGCCGGGTGAGACACACTCTCCTCCCTCCACCCCAGCAGCTGGGGCTGGGAAGTGCCGCTCCAAGCTCCGCCTCCCAGGCCAGCACACTGAAGGTGGGAAGAGGATGCTGGCACACCGGGAGAGGCCCAGGCAAGCAGTGGGTGCTCCAGGTCCCAGGAGCAGACATTCAGACCCAGCCACTCATCTGCCCAGGGAGCCACCAGCTAGCAGCCCACTTCTCCAGAGTAGCTCAGAGCCCGCAGCCCCAGAAAGGGCCAGAGGCCAGAGCCTTGGAGCCAAGAGGGACAAGGCCCAAGGGAGAGAGCAGCCCCCACAGGCAGCTCAGGGAGGGCAGAGCCCGGCGGGGGGTTGGCGGGCTTACCTCAGTACCAAGGTGAACCAAGGGCAAAGGCCCTCGAATTGCTATCGACCGCAGCACCATCCACACCACAATTACAACAGAATTTAAAAGGCACTGAAGCATAAACGATGCCTCAATTAAACATCACGAGAAATTTTTAAGTGGGGAGAGGGCCAGAATAGCACCGGCATGTTTGAGACAATAGAGGATACTTTCTCTTCCTGTTTTTCAGAATTTTTCAATTTGTATTTAAAGAGTATTTCTTGCTTTGGGGCTGAAAAAATACACATCCTGAAAAAGCAAACAGTGAACTACCTCCTAGGCTCCGAGGCAGGATGGGACAGGCAGCCTCGACCAGTCCAGAGGCCAGAGCCCCACAGTGGAGCCGGCAGGGGCGGGGGCTGCCCCGCAGCCCACCCGGGCTCACGGCCCCCCTCCCCAGGCTGCCAGCCAGAGACTCGAATTTCCCAAATATGGTCTGCAGCCTGCCTCCGGGAATTGCATCCCATCAGGGGGCGGGACACCAGCCACCCTCCCCCAGTGACCCCACAGAACACAGAGCTGCCCTGCCGGGTCCCCCTAGCCCCTGCCCTGGTGACCACAGGAAGTGCCAGCAGAGTGACTCACAGGAAAATTCCCCTCCAGCCGAGTCAGAAGGGATGGGGGTGTGGACAGAGGGGACTGCCCCCAAAGGCCCCTCACCTTAGGAGGGTGGCCCAGCAAACGCTGGCAGAGAGGCCCCACCAGACAGGGCAGGGCACTTGGAGTCTGCTGAGGACAAGGCTGGTGAGGAGGGGAGGGGAGGCCTGGCCCAGGTGAGCCACAGGCCGGCCTCAGGCCTCCCAGGATGGCCAGTCCCCACCCCATCAAGGCATGAGCTCACTGAAGGCTGCAACTTAGTCTGGGGCAGCTGGAGCCAGGCTGGGAAGCACTTCGAGAGCTGGGCACGTGGCACCAGGCACTCCCCTGCCTGCGTCAGCTGGCATGGCCCCACCCATAGTCCCCAAGGCAGCCCCTTCCCCACCCAGCATGAGTCCTGGGCACTGCTGGTGCCCAACAGACCACTCTAGCTGGCCAAGCACCCATCTCTCTGAGCCTCTCTGCTTCCCAGTCTGCTCCCCAAGGACACACTACTGCTTTCTTTCCTCTCAAGTCGCTAAGCAGCAGCTAAGAACCAGACCTGGGCCCAGCTTTCCCCTCACTGCTATGTGACCCTGGGTAAGTCCTTTATCCTCTCTGAGCCCCTAGATCCTCTCCACTGAGGTGACACCCTGGCTTCATAGGATTGTTCTTTTGTTTAACAAAAGATTCACCTGGCTCCTGCTCTAGGCCAGGCACTTGGCCAGGCTCCATGAGGAAGGCCCCTGTCCTTGTGGGGCTCACCGTGCAGTGGGGCAGAAAGACAGTTTGCTATGATGGGGAAAAAGTGGGGTGCAAAAAATGTGGGACAAGGCCTCTACATACAGGGCTGGAGATGCCTCCCCAAGGAGGTGACATTTCAGACCAACTCATGCCAGGGAAGAGCATGGGGGCAGAGAAAGGGCATTACCCCAGGTGCTAGAGCAGGGGAGGGGGTGCAGGGGAGACAGGTCGTGACCCTGGAGTGGCAGACAGGCAGGGACTGGCAGCACTGCAGATACCATGGGATGAAGCAGCAATAACTCAATAAATGTCATCCAAACAGCAGCTTCTTGTGGCCAGAGGAGCCCAGACCAGCCAAAGCCCACACCACCCCAAGCATTCCTGCTCTGGACCTGCTCCCAGGCCCCCTAGTCACCTGTCTCTGAACGCTGCGTTACGCCCCAAGCTGGAGGAGAAGTCAGACTCCCCAAATCTGCTATCCTGGCCTCACTAACTGCTGGGCCCAGGCATATGACCCATATGGGCCAATCAGGGGCTCCTGTCCCAAGCTCTTGACGGGCACAACTGACCTTGGAGGGGTGCACAGCCAGGGCACTGCCAGTCCAGGTGGACGCCATTGGCCATCTGGTCCAAGGCACGACGGACGCTGTTGCGTGACTTGCCCAGAGTCTCTGGCCACCTCACTCCGGCCTCTAGGAACCCTCCTGCTGCGTCCTACTCCTCCTTCAAGAAACACTAGGCTAGGATAGCATGTCTTGCAGTGTCATCTCCCCTCACCACCCCCAAGCACCAGCTTGCACCTTCAGGCAGGCTCCATGTCCCTCCCGGGGCACCCACGCCCCTTGCTCCCACCTGCCACTGCTGACCAACATGTCTTGTTACTGGCCAGTTATGCCCCTGAATGGGAGGGAGAGATCTATCTCCTTTAGCATGGTGCCCCCCAGCACGCGCGCCAGGCCTTGTGCAGGATGCCCGACCTGCGAGCAACCGCTGAGTGCGAGGGGGGTTAAAAGGAGCCCTGACTGCGAAAGGCCAGGTCCTTCCCTGGGAGCCCCTGTCCTCCCTGGTGAGCAGCCCGGCCGCACAGAGGGACCCAGGAAGACCCTTTGGGGCTTGCTTACCCCAGAGAGCAGGGGCAGAGAGGAAGGCCAGTCTGATGCCAGCACTCCCAGCCAGGCCCACGGAGAACAGCATCCTGGTTGTTGCACATGGGAGCTGCCAGGGCTGCCCCACAGGCCCGCCTGGCTCTGAGAATGGCCCTCATTGTGTCCCTGGGGCCTGTCTGGGGCCAGACCCACAGAACCAGGTGGACCCTCAGAATCAGAGCAGCTGGGGCCTTGGCTGTAGGCGGACACACGTCAGGGAGAACTGCAGCCGTTTCATGGGTGTTCAGGTCTCCTCCTCGGCTCCACCAGCTGCCTAGGAGAGCCCTGGATGTGGGTATCCCCAAACTCTGGCTCTGGGGGAAGGTGCAAGCTGGTGGCTGGGGGTGGTGAGGGGAGATGACAGCACAAGGCTCCCTCAAGGGAAGCCCCCACGAGTTCCTTAGGAGCAGGGCCAAGCCAAGCCAACTGCAGGCGCCCCTGCTGACCAGTGACCCCTCTGTCACGCCTGGTTCCATGTCTGGCCTGCGCTCTTTCAAACAGCAAATGTGTTCTCAGCACCCACAAGCCAGCCGACCGTGGGACTCCTGGTCTCTGCCCAAGTCCCTGGGGCGGGGGAGAGACATGGAAAAGCGTAACAGCAACGTGCTGGTCACTAAGTTTATAATGCTAACAAGTGCGGCACAGTCACGCCCCACCAGATGCAGAGCTCTTTTGTGCACAGCCATCAGCTAGCACGTTTAACCCTCAAAACGACCCTGTGAGACACTATGATTCCCTCCACCTTACAGATGGGGAAACCGAGGCTGGGAATAATTACCTTACTTGCCCAGGGTCCAGATCAGGGGCAGCAGAGGCAGACCAGGGCTCTGAGACAAAGCGGAACCAGTGGCTCCCGGGTGATGCTGAGGTTCACGGAAGCCGGGGTGGAAATTCCACAGGCCTTTCCCGCCCTCCTTGCCCCACCCCCAACACAC